ATTTTTAGACGTGTGTAAGATGCTACGCTGACAGTCTCTGTGCGTTTTGGCTTGACCTTATCACGCTAATTATGCGGTTAGCAACACAGAAATACGTGCTTTGTCTTCCACGCTGACAGTCTCTGTGCTGTGGATTACATTGTGTACGTAGGTTCTTTTTGTTCACCTGTCCGTTCTCATCCTCCTGATATCCTAGTTCCTGTCGTTAGTTTGTGTGTTTACCATCCTGGTCTCCTTAGTCATCACTGCCCTTCCCTTGTTGTATGTATTATGGACCCTGTTATGTTGTCATGTTGTTTTTATTCCATTAAACCACCTTTTTTGTACTGGCACCTGGGTCAGCCATCTTGAGTCCAACCCCAGTTCTCCCTAACCCTCCTGGTGAGGGGGACTAAACTATAACAAAATGCCTGTGGACAAAAGCACACACTGTGTCCCAATTACGCTATACTCAAGGCTTTAAAACCCAACAGGCCAGTGAGCTATATAAAAAAATAAACATGAATGGGAGAAAGTAAGTGAGGGAAACAAAAAACGAATGTGTGTGCAAATAGGACCTCAGAGGATATCCGATACTTCCGCATAGGAAGAAATGAGAGGAAACCGTAAACAGAGAAAAGTGCTGTCATGGTTAAGTTCATTGTTTTACGTTATTACTGCATTTAATTAAAAGATGAACATCTTCAAAAACAGCATTATGGGTTAGACCTATTTTTTTCAACCTCAAACATAAATTCCAGGTAATATCTTTTAAGCTTTTCACCTAGCACATTGTATGGCTTCTCCCAGTGATAAACAAAGTGAACATTATCCCATAAACACATCTATATTAACAACAGTTCAGTCAAACATTACAAAGGCAAGTTAAACATAAGTCGAACTCTAAGGCAGGGTTGCAAAATCTCCATAACCTGACACCTTTGGTTTAAATTAAATGACCAAAAAAAAAAAAAATCTCTCTCTCACTTTCAATCCTAACAATGTAGTTGAGTGTGGATACGCAAACCAAGCCCAACAGGACCTGTCGGTACCCGAGTTTTTGGGTCAGATGCGGACAGAGATTTAGGAATTATGTTTGAGTCCGGGACAGGCTCGGTCACAGTCATACTTTAGGCTAATCGGCTGGAGCACTCAAATGTCTGCTTCGTTTAATGATAACGGGAAAAACACCGTACAAACTCAACTGCATCGGCCTTGGGTCTGGTTCTAATGTTACAAACTATAACCTTGTCGGGTTCAGGTGGGGTTCGGAGGCCACACTCTCGGCCATAGCTAAATGTTCTGTGTTCACCAGCTAGACTGCTGTTTGGTGCTTGGCAGGTAGCGTACTTTGGGTTAAACTCATTTTACACTGAAAACAGCTGGGTGCTTCCAAGACATAATGTAGGTAATGAACACTTTGTATCACAGGTGACCAACTCTCCCTCACTGTTTCTGATAGAAAGCCATAACAGACAGCTCTGTATCTGAACAGAATCACAGGAGGAAATGTCACACAGCAAAGCACCCCCAGTCATTCAGCCCACTGTTCTTCCAGCTGACATAAATGTTACTGTCATAACCAAACAAGGGTGGAGGAGGCTTCTGATTGCTGTGCTTTACTCTGAGAGGGAAAGTTCTATGCAAATTCCAACTGGCAGTATGCAGGATGCAGGCGCCCCCACCCCAGTGGGACCAGAGCAGCAGGAGGAAAGCTGGGAGCACCACAGATGTCTATAGTGGAAGAGCCCAGTATGACTCACTGGAATCAGGTGTTCCAGTGATAACAAAGGAATGAGGGATTGTCCATGAAGGGAATGTTGATGTAACCACATTTCCTGATAGCACATATTTTTCTGATTCAGTGACCATTTCTGTTAATCAGCTGGGCTGAATTTTCATATAATGCTTCATAGTATTCCAGTATCTACTTGAGTCAAGGGAAAAATGTATCATTCTGAGTATGTTCAGTATTTGAGAATGAATAATGATGTAGTTATGACTGCACAGTAGGAGAGATGAATTACTGATTTAAATGTAGACTTGAATGGTAAAGAATTATGCACAGGCCTTTCACCATAAATAAGAGTCATTAAGACGCTGATAAATGCATATTTCATAATAAGGCCATATTTTCTCATCAGGGCACTTTCTGAATTGATCAGTACTGGTCTGGGTGGTGATTAGAGCACTGATGGATCAGAGCCAGGTTGTCCATTTAATGGTAAGATTTTCCATCAACATGACTCTGGATCACTCTTATTCATCATAACAGGTAAGGACATGGGCATTTGAAAACCTTTCTTTCCCTGCAGTGTCATTAAAGAGACTAATTGTGGACACTGCCTGTCCCTCCACTGTAGAATCAATCATCTGATGAAAAGAATTTGTATTAAGGATGTCTGACTTTCATTAAACCAGGACTCAATGACACTGAGAACAGACCTCATGAAAACATAAGTGACACTGGTATAATATATAGTCTGATGTCTACTGTGTTTCAGGTAGACACATTCTCTCACCCCTATTTCTCGCACACTTACATAGTGGCAAAGACAAAACAGACCATAAAGAATAGATTATGGCCCTTGTTACGCTGCCTGTTCAGGGCTGGAGTATGGCAGCATTTTGCTAGCATGTGGTTCTGTATAAAAGGCTGGGGACAGATTAGCATAAGATGAAACTGGTTGTGCTAGGGTACCAAAAAATATCTGACCAAATTCCTCAGCTGCTTTTATCCATGCCCTTCGGAATCTCCATTTTGTCGTCACATTAAATGTCATGCCTCAACTACTACAGCTGTCTAAATAGAAAACTGTAGCAGCATTCTGCTGGCTTTATTTGATTTAGTGCAAATAAACAAAGCAGTCAAAGTTAAACATTAACTTACTGCCAATATACGGGGAAGGGAGGGGAAATGGCTACTACCTGCCTGGTAGAAACTCATCACTATAACATATGACATGACAGACAGATGCTGGAAAACTGATTTTCTCCTCTACCCCACAGACATTTGTCTTTCACCCCATTTGTTCCTGCATGGATCAAATGGCTGAAGATGTGAGCCAGATACTAGACTGTCTGCTAACTCGACTTAGTTACCCAGCACTACAACAGAGTCACAGACCTTTTTCTGGCAACAAATATTCATTTTAAAATAAAATCCCACACATTTGGCATCAAACTTCCTTACTGTTGGAGTTTAACAAGCCAAAATTTACGTAAACAGCACAACAAACATACATACTTCTCAGTTACATTTCTCTACAATCAGTGCTTTAATCATGAAAACTCTGCATTCAACTCATGCAGATTACACTACAGACATCTATGTGTATAAAACCTACATAAATTCACCACATTCCTAAATTGCTTGTTACAAAATGGGTGCACTATCACCTTAAAACAGCAGTTATAGGATTTTCATAATGAGGAAACACTGCCATCTAGAGGGGGCACAATCTTTCCTGAAAATTACCAAGCATATCAAACTAAGTTGGATAAATACTAACTTGTCATGTTCTCAGGAACAGTGTGCTCTCTGAATCCACTCACCTCACCTTCTCAAAACTACACACGACCTATGTCTTTTGCAACTGTATCATAATATTTACTAAACTAACAACAGCACAACCTACTATGGTAACAAAACATTTATATTAATTTGAGATTTTATTCAACACAACATAAACATCTGGGATAAGCCACCTTTATATATAAGCAGGCAGAATATTTATGTATTTCCCCCAAACCACTGAAAAGAAGTCTGAGATTCTCTACTAGACCCCAAACCTGTATTCTGTCCCGCCTTAAAAGTGCAATATTGTGTCAGGCAAGTCCTAAATCCTAAATAACAGTCCTTCATTCAGGGAGGGGGGATTATTAACTGCACATCTCTCACAAAGGTTTTGGCTCCAGTAAAACAATTCAACCGCATTCATAGTTTAGGAAACATATGGAGTGGAAAGCCAGTTCTAACACACATCTGAGCCAGTGGGATCAAAGAAAAAATTCTGTTTGAGGTCATCCAAAATGCATATCAAGACCACATCCATATTAAGATGACTGAATATCAGATTTTCCTCTACACTTTAGCCACTCATGCCTTCCACACTCAGCTGGGTCTGCATAACCTAAAATCATCATCTGAACATCTCCATGAGGGTCCATATGGACTGTCTACAAATGTGACTACATGGACTAATGAAAACGTAAACAGCTTGGGCGCTGGAAAAGTTCAGTATAATGTACTCACCTTTGGTTAAACATCCCTCTGAAGTTGTAGTTAGCTCTATAGTTGGGCATGGGCTTAGGATCCAAAGGCCTGTATACAGCTGGCTCTCCTCTCTTCATGGCCAGACCATTCAGCTCCACTGTGGGTGTTATACTGTCTGTTGGAGAAAGTAAGAGAAAATGTGAAAAATTTGACATGGAAGATAAAGATAAAATGAGGGCAATGCGCATCTGAAATAAAACACTGAGTAGCCAGACTGGTAAAAATAATAGATTTTATTTGACATCAAATAAAGCTTCAATAATAAAAACAGGGCTGACATGTAGACAAGCAACCGCACACGCCAACACTCACTCCTACGGGAAATTTAGAGTCACCAATCAACCTAAGCTGCATGTCTTTGGATTGTGGGAAGAAGCCGGAGTACCCGGAGAGAATCGACTGAATCACAGGAACAACATGCAAACCCTGCACAGAAAGGCCCCAGGTTGGGCCAAGCCCGAACCCGGAGACTTCTTGCTGTGAGGCAACAGTGCTAACCACTGCGCCACTGTGCTGCCATTATTTGCAAATAACAAGCCAAAATTAAAAGCTGACTTATGTACCCTACAACTGTGTTTAACCTAATTTGCCACATAACTTCAAATGGAGCTAATTATTTCTGTTAGAGACACCAGCGAAGTCCTGGGCAGACTTAGAGTACTGACAAGAATAGTAGGATTCATAAAACCCTAATAGTTCTGGCACTTGAGTAAACAGCATTCAGGTAGCAGCTTTTAATTTTTATCCAGTGCTGATCTTAAGTTTTGCTCTTTAAAATAGTGGATGCAAACTAAAGGAACAAAAGGAGAAAAGGAAGAAAAAAGACACCACTCTCTCACTATCAAATGTTACTGTGGTTCCAGTTATCCTTGCTTACCTATGTGTGGAGGAGAAATTCATATTAATTAATGCTGTCGCGGTTCATTGTGCTGTCCACTTGCGACACAACACTGGCAACAGGAACTGTGCATGTTCATGAACTATCCTCTCATTTTAAGGAAGAGGCTTTCTGGCTCTCTGATTCTGAAACTATTACAGACTATTTGGAGTTATGAGGGGTGCCAAGCTAATGTAGAGGTACCCAAGATTAAACATTAAATGGCTGGAAACGAGCAAAATGAGCATGCCATGGGCATGTTAAAGCATCGGCTCACTACAATTATGTGTAAAAATCTAAACACAGTACAGGAGGAGCTGCAGTAACAAGTGGGTGAAAGCTAATCTCTCACATACACATTTGTTGTTAGATCGTGTTGTGGTTGCACTACCTGGGTTGCTGTTAACATCCACTTTAGGGGAGCGGGGCGCTGGCCTGGGAAGAACACTCTCGGCAAGCGCTTTGGCAGCCGTGGAGTGCTGGGCCTTTTTAATGCTTGTGCCCTCCGCCTCCCACACCTGCTCCCCAAGAGTCAGCTGCACTGTAAAGATCTGGAACAATGACACCCAAAGGGAGAGAGATTACTCAGCAGCAACAATATCCCTCTGGAATCCATAAGGTGAGAGCTGAACTATTGCTGATGAATATATTAATTTATGCAATGCATTTGAAATTCTGAAAGATTATTACTAAATGTCATTTCAAAAATACAACTGAACATAATCCACAGATTTTTTTTAAATTAAGTGATTTTGGTTTTCTTAAACCAAAATCACAAATTGAAATTGTGAGACATTGTTTGGGGGTTATAACAAGTGGAAGGTTGTCTTTGTATTCCTTAGGTCAAGTAAATCTTTTTCCTGGTGATCAAGTTCAGACTCAGGTAATGCTCCTCACCTTAGCATGTGCAGGGCCTCTCTCATTAAGGAGCTTGTACTGTGGTTGGATCCTATTGAAACGGGCTAACTCATTCACCAAACACATTGGAGTTTTCTCTTTAGGGTTTGCCATGTTCTCCTGAGGCGGGCCTAGAACAGAGCAGAATTTATGTTATAGCGTGCAAGAGTCAGTGCAGAGCATCTCCACTAGGTTAAGGTCTGGGCTCTGAATGGGCCACTCCAGGAGGTAAATGTATTTCATTTGAAATCATTCTGATAGATTTACATCACTGTTTAGGGTCACTATCCTGCTGCTTCACCCAAATTCTACTGAGCTTCAGCTGGTGGACAGCCACCCTGACATTATCTGTCAGATACCTTGATAAACTGGGGAATTCATTTTCTGCTCTATGGTGACAGCTGCTCAGGCCCAAAGGCAGCAGAGCAGCCCCAAATCATGATGCTCCCTTCATAGAGCTGCTTCACTGCTGGGATGTTTTCATGATGGTATGCGGTGCCCTTTTTTAAAACCATGCAGAATTCTTCCTAAACGATTCAACCTTAGTTTCATCACTCCACAAAACATTTTCTCAGTAACAATGTGGTGTGTCCAGGTGCTCTTTGACAAGCTTTAGATTCATGTCTTTTTAAGAACAATGGCTTCTTCCATGTGTCCTTGACATAGACACCATGCTCTGTGCAAGCATGTTCTATGATTTGCATACAGCAAACTCATGAACAGAGGTGTGGTAGCAGATGCTTGTTAGCAAATTCAAAATGCTGGAGTGCATTTGTTTAAGTTTAAGTACTGCTATCCAACACATCCTGTCTTGTTTCATTGACTGAAATCTAGGTTTGCTACCTCCTGACTCCAGTTAGTACTTCTGATTAGCCTAGGTGTTCACATACTTAATGTCTGAATGATGACCTGCATCTGAAGCTGGTCAAGAACTCAGATGAAAAGGTGTAACTGTTTGTCTAGTCCATCCTTATTATAAACTTCGCTTTATGGCTTGAATCAGTTTTAGTATTTAGTATTAGTCTATCCATCCATTATCTATACTGCTCATCCTAACAAGGGTCGCTGGGGAAATGGAGCCAATCCCCCAGCGACCCTGGGCGAGAGGCGGGGTACACACTAGACAGGTTGCCAGTCTATCACAGAGCTGACACTCAGAGACAAACAACCACACACCCACACTCACTCCTACAGGCAATTTAGAGCCACCAATCAATCTAAGCTGTATGTCTTTGGACTGTGGGAGGAAGCCAGAGTACCCGGAGAGAACCCACGCAGGCACAGGGAGAACATACAACTACACACAGAAAGGCACTGGGTCAGCTGGAGCTCAAACCCAGAACCTTCTTGTTGCAAGGCAACAGCTGTTTAGTATTGGTAATCATGACAATGCAGTTTTCACCAGGTAAGTGTACAAAACTCAAAATCTGCAACACTGAAACATTTCATCTCTTACATTGCCTGTTTATCATGTATAACAATTAGGACCACAGAGTAGTGCAAAATGATCACAGCATTCTGTTGGCATTCTACCTGGTGGTGTGGCAGACACAGGGGCATCCCCATATCCGACTGCAGGAGCAGGGCAGGTGGGTGTGGGGGCCGGGCCTGTGCCATTGACGGAGGGCTGCAGACCCACGGATCCTGGGCTGGCCATGGCCGGTGGGGAAAGTCCAGGAGAGAGGCCAGGACCAGCCAGGGGTGCTGAGGTCTGTACTTTCACTTGAGCCATGCTCTTTTCTGAAACCAGAGAGCAGTTAACAACTTTTAGGGTTGATAGACTGAATTCATATCACTTCAAATAGATGACTAGAAAAACAAAACTGGGTTATTTAATGAAATCAATTTAGGTCACTGATAAAGTGTACAGCATATTGTAAGTGTACACCATTAACCACTTATCATTTGTCTATACAACATGAATATCAGCACACATAAATTCACAATTTAGGGGTTGTTCAATGTCATGTGAAGGATTTCTGTGCACAAAGCCTGGAGAACAGACTTCAAACTGAGCAGCTCTAGGCCTATCTCACATTCTGATCCAGTGGCAGCTAATACACCTAAACAATGAAGCTTTATTATTTGGAGCTTTGCTCACGTTACCACTGCTCAGTTCCCTGGCAAAGAAAGAGAGAATGCTGTGATATCAGCCTGTATGGATGTTCAATGACATTTGAGACTAATCAGGGGTACATAATACTACATCAGGTAGACATAGGTAGACAGCAGAGAGGGCCCAACAATATACTAAAAGTTAACAACACACACTAACTTTATCTTTTTAAGTATCCACAGAGTATTCTGCTATTACACACAGGTCACAGCCCGAGGCTGTGCAGTCTAAGTCACAATATACTATCACTTGTTCTTCATCAACCAAATATAAAGACTGAGTACATACAAGGTGCATGTAATCACTCAAATAAGTACAAACTGCGTGACATCTTGCCAAGATGGGCCCATTATGTGGCAGGAGGAAAGACATGCAGGAAAATTATGGAAATTCTTTGAAATCCTTACAGAACTCAGAGCAGACTCAGACACAGAAGAAGAGTCTTATACTTGGACAACTGAAATAACCGAAATACTCCATACAAATCAACATTTTTATTTGATGGAATAAATGAAGCCAGGGTTACATATCCCTGTGGTCAATAGAGGTAGCTTTAAGATTCAGGTTTTCATGGGCTTCACCCTGAAACCACAACTTCATGTATTACTGGTGCCCATTATTTACAGCTGAAGTCCATGGTTGGACTGGTGTATCTGGCCAAACAGAGACCGGTGCATGAAACAGCCATCTCCACAAGAAGAAATAATTTTACTAAGGATAGTAACCTTAAATAAATGCATGCAATCAGAGTGTTTAGAGATTATATCTTTCTTGCATCGTGCGTTACCCCGATGTTGTTACTTTAAATTTACTCTCTCACAGTAACGTGCACCAACACAATACCAAACAGCAACCTAAACGCACGGCCGAGTAACTTGGACATAGAGGTAGCGTTGTGTTAGGGCTGACTGAAAGAGCTACAGGGTCTGCAACCCATGAACCTAACTTACATTACAGCTTCGACTGTGAATTAGCAGGAAGCTAATGTAACCAAACACAAAACGGTAGTTCCTGCAAATGTCAGCTCCTAAAACGCATACCAGCCGACTGGGGAAGCATGCATGCTGTCATGAATATGTGACTGTGATTTCTCCTGGTGAATATACACTATCTAGCCACCTTCATTTGCGCTGGTCTAGCCGGTTAAAGCTCATCATGGCTGATCGACCGAGCACCCCTCTTGCTAGCATCTTTCTGCCGCCCAGTCCTCAAGGAAAAGAATTTCAACCACCCAGACATCATATACGTGCTGACGGCAACGTGGCGAATAATCCAGAAACTACTCTACAACAATGGCAGGAACATTTTAGGTTATTTAGTACCTTAGTCCAGGGCCAGACCCCAGTTACACCTCCAACATCGGCAAACACTAAAGAGAACTGGATGGAAAAGGGAACGGACCATTTTACTAATCTGGCTAAAAATGCATATTAGAGGCATATGGTTGATAATTGTAATATTCCATGTGGGAAAATTGTGTTTATTTCATTTTTAATTATTAAATATTACATATTGGTACCTTGCGATCGCTAGAGTTTCAGGTGAATCTTGAATGAACCGTCCACCCCCACGGCTATAAGAATGGTTTAGTCCTGTGTCAGAGCCTACATTGTAACTTTGGTTCAGAAACAAACGGGACCTTTTCTAACCTGCTTTCTGTACATGGCATTTATGTTGCAGATGAGTTCTCTCTGAATAACACAGGCGTCGTTAGGCCCCTTTTACTGGGGCATGCGCCCTACTAAATTCACACGTTCGAGTTTTAACAGAGGCTTCATTTAGATTGATAATAACATGAAAAGAAATGAGTTGTTGTTCTAATGTCAACGCAAAACACAAGATGAGGCGCAAGTGGATCAAGGTTCGTACACCACGGTGCGCGCATATGCACGTCGTGCATATGAGCTGGTGCAGTGCAGCGCGCACGCAGCAATCTGTGTACTGCGCACGAAACGCAAGGGATGGACTGAGGGTATGTGACAGGGACTAAATTATGTTTTTGTGAAATAAATTAGAGCTCTGTACATGAATGCATATGATCAGTTGGACAACTCTTAAAACGCTATTTATCGGTGTACTACATGAAATAAAATGAACGCTAAGTATTTTGCATTATACACCTGTACAATTGTATACACTATAGTGCACTGCTTCCGCTTTAAATGGTGGCCCGAGATATAGCTCAAAGTGTTGGGACCCTAACACCTCATTAAAATTAAATTAAAGACTCTTTTTTTTCATGTATACCTGCATGCTGCTTCCTTGAGTGATCTAAAAGCGCAATTAACAGACTGTAGATGCAACCGGTCTATTTTTATATGGTTTTAATTAAATCAAATGTCAAAATGACTGGTATGAAAAGTCTCACAGTTTCACGGCTGGAGGATATTTTAAACGACTGGGTAGATAAACTGAGATGATGTACCACTTATTCTAGAGCCATGCTACTAACAATATCAAGTGGAAAGTGACTGCACTGACATTCAACATGATCTCGTTATTTCTTCTGGTTCTGTTCATTTCCTGTCTCCTGTCATCTTCAGTAAACCAAAGCTATTTCACACACCCGCAGACCACAAGCGGCCTAAGTCTAAACATCCGAAAAGAAGAGGCCTAAGAAACAAGTTCTCCTAGTCACATGCGCGCCACCTTGTGGTTTCAGTGTGGCGTTACGCAACCGTTTGCTGTAGGGCCTTTGGCACAGTGGAGACATTACAGCCCTGAATCTCACGGCACCGCCCGCTGCATTGACTGGCAAACAAAACAAATAAGTAAAAGGATATGTAGAATTATTTAAAGGAGATTAAAATATTGTTTTTGGTCCCTCCTGTGATAGCATATTATTGTGTAATCAGTCAAGTTTTGTTTAGACATCTCAGAAAGGACAGGTGTTGCTGTTGTTGTATGCCAACACCCAGTGCAGAAGATGCCACAGTAGTACTCAACTCAAAATAATACACATGCTGGGGGCTTTAATGTTTACGGATGTCTTGTCCTGGTCTCTGCTGCAATCCTTTGTAACAGGGATGTGTAATGGACCCCCAAAGTCCTGACCTTGATTTTGGCTTGATTAGATCCTGGTGGATTAACTAATGTTGAAGGGAATCAGAAAAGCACTTCACAAGACTTCTAAACAATCAGCTTTAATTTTCTGATAATACACATTTGCAGTAAGTATCATGTTAAAAAAAATCAGTTATGTTACAGCTTGTCTGACCCTGCCTTGTACAGTACACACCAAAACAGTAACAAATATCTCATTTTCTATACCGCTTAGTCCCAAACGTGGTTGTGGGGGGCTGGAGCCAATCCCAGCCAGCATCGGGGGAAAGGCGGGGACAGTAACAAATCATTTTCTTAAATTCAGAACTTGCCTTAACAGTTTCCTAAATTCTTTTTCCCTTTTGTGGCTTCATGTACACACATAAAGAAAAGCATATGGTATGTCTTAATATTATTAAAAATACTGCATTTTCATGACAGCTCATTAAAATATTATGTTATGCGCATTATCCTCTGCTAAGGTTCAAAGTAGCCAGGCATTGTCTTCTTAAAGGTGACTGTAGAGCAGTTGTTTCCCAACCAGAAGATTGGTGGTTTGAATTTTAGTGCCTGCAGTCCCCATGTCAAAGTGTTCTTAGGGAAGTTGCCCCTGATGGTTAGAGCCATTGGTGTGAGTTGGCGCTGCAGATGGCTGCCACGGTTCTGTACCAGAAACAGATTCCTTGTGTGTGTTAACATACTTGTCATTTTAGTAAGCTGAATAACGTTTTCAGAAATATCGATTTAGTTTTATACACAGTGTGCAGATAGACCACACTATGACTATTGATGCATTCAACATTAGTCTTAATTGTGTGCTGTGTATGTATGTTGTTAGTCAAGCCTGAGGAAATGTCCGTTGGTATTTCTGAAAGAAATCAGAGGGGTTGCCACTGTCACTTTGTCATTTATTTGGTATACACATGTGTCACTTTTTTTTTGGAGTAAAGGAGGGCTTATAGGTTTTGTTATGACTAACACTCATCACATTAACAAGAAGAAAATGTGGTTTAGGGGCACCATCTGTTGGTATAGCTACTAAATTACAGACAAGACACAGGTCCTCAACTGCACATTCATTCCTGGGCTGCTGAAGTGCCCTCAAGAAAAGGCACTTAAGAGCAGTGTTGCTCTCTAGGTGAAAATCAGCTTTTTCTCTGCCCAAAACAATCCAGCTTTAAGAGGACTTTATGCTTAATAAGCAAATAAGCCTGTCAAGGAAAAAAAAAACAACAAAAAATAAAAAGTCAGGTGATTTTTTTAGGCTTTTCCTTAAAGGCACAATGAAGAGTCCAAGATTAACAGACCACTACATGTGATATACATTGACCGGCCACTTTTAGGTACAATTGTATGCACTTCCAACACCTATGCCTTATGCGTTTATGAAGCTTTTGTTTTTGTGAAATTGTCACAAATGCATCAATTCAATATTTATTATTGAAGTCATAGTTAAAGGTAGTGTTGTACTCCAGTACCTTGTATTCAGAGGTGTTCCTAATAATCTGACCCTCATAGATGTAGATGGTGAGGACAAAATAGACACCTTTGTCATACCTGTGACAAATCAGACCGTAATCCGTTATAGCAAAGTGAAATGTATAGTCTGGTTGTGATGCACCCACAGACTGAAACACACTGTTCCATGGTGTACTCTCATTTCCTGCATTTGGCAGCCTGAGAGGTGTGTGTTAAGGATATGCCCCCACAAGGATTCAATTTAGAATTTAACAGTTGATGTGGTTTTGCTGTTCTTTAGACTAATGTGGTCAAAGCTGTCACAAGGCTCCATTTTTGGTTGTTGCCTTTAGCTTTTTACATTGTTTTTAGTTTAATAACATGAGCTGTAATGACTAGATACGGGAAAGAAAAATGACCACTTTGTAGCTCCAACAGTTGTGTTAGACGGACAACTCCTTGGGGTACCATCAGGACCTCTACACACTGGTACCTTCAGTTTTGTTAAAGCATTAAGGTTAAAATGTCTTAATCTATGATGGCTATGGAAATACAAGTATACACTATGGTGCTAAAACAATCTCAAACAGATGACAAAGCAGAAGGAACCTAATGCTCAAGATAATATCAATGTATTTCTACTTAAGGCAAATTTACCAGAAGTCCAGATTCAAGAAATGATTTTTCATGGTGCATGTTTGTTTCCAACAAAGAAATACAACTGTATTTTTAAAGGAGTTTGGGGACTTTGTATACGGGTCATTAATGTTACAACAGCCAGCAGCAGCCTAATTTTAAAAGTGACTATTGCAGTAAATCCAACTTTATGCATTACTGCTACAACTTTACCAGAAACTGTTCCATTAAAGTTAACGCAGCTCGAGTTTTACGGGATATTGAAAGTCGTTTGTTCTCAAAACCCAAATTAACCTGCTGGAGTTTTTGAAGGGAGTTTGGAAACTTTCTCTCAGCAAAAGAAACAAGGAGCTTATGACGTGCAACATGCGCTGTCCTTTGTGCTCTAGAGAATCCTGAACAACTTTTGACTTGGGGATCTGAAACACTGACCTCAGCCCCATCTTCCCCCAATAACAAAAGCCTGCAGAAACATGCTTCAGCTTCATCTTCACATCTGTAGTTTTCACTACATATTTATTTCAAATATTTTTATGAATGAAGATTTTACACACAAAATGTGTTTAATAACTGATGCTTCATTAACAGCATTTTGATAATCGTTTACATTTTTATTCCTCTGCACAGACAGCTATGGCTGGAAAAATTTCTACATGGTGTAAGTCTGTACATTTCACTATACAATTCAATTCATTTGTATAGCACCAAATCACAAGTCATCTCAGCATCAGTATAAAGAAACCCCCAACAAATCCCTCTTGAGCAAGTACTTGGCAACAGTGGAGACTAAAAACTCCCTCTAGGAGGAAGAAACCTTTGACAGACCCCAAACTCAAAATGGGCAGCCTTCTGCTTTGACCGGTTGGGGTGAGTGGAGAGGAGAGTTTTCATAATCATCACCTCATGGAAAACAAGGCAACTACACTCACTGAGTGTCTGAGTTCATTTAGAGTCTGAGCTATCCATCTCTGCCAGGCTTCCTCCCTAAACACACTCCCAGTTGGTATCGCAGCTACCATGCAATAGAGCTCTAACAATCCTATCTACCTATGAAACTGCTAAACGTATCCCCACATCAGCAATGATATTTTGCAGGGGCGGGATAAATTCTTCTGCTGGGAGGCCTCCCAAATATGGAGAATCGAATAAGCACACGAAATGCAAAGTTTTCCCTCCCCAGGCCTACCTGAAGCGTGAGTCTCCCCCTTGAAATTTGGCAGATCGAGACAACTCAGAAATTTAACCCTAAAGTTAAAGTTTGGGTGATGATTTTGAAAACAGCACAACTACACTTAGAGACAGGCTTACAACATAAAGCACAACATCATGCATATGGAGAATCGCTCATAAATCTAACCACAAAGCCTGTCCAACTACTTCCACCATTTAATGATGGAAAAATGACCCAGCCTTGTGCAATGGCATGGTAAAGTTCCAAAATTCAAACCAAGTCTTCAAATAGTCAACACTGACAAAGTCCATAAACCCCAGTGGAAAGGTTACAGTTCAGTAGCTGCAGTCACCTCATCCAAGGTGGTGGTGGACTCAGGTAAAATTGACTGAGCTTCCCTCCGCTGATGCAGTCCCTTCAAGATCTCTCAGTCTTGACTCAGGACCAAACAGGTTGGTGCAGACATCTACAGCAGCCTCCTCATCTCCAATCGATCAGTTATGGTCCCATTTGCATCACCAGGTTGTTTGTGGCAGCTTCAGTTTCCTAAGGTTGGACACTGGAGTCAAGAAACAAACTCAATCATAAGAACAAAGATAAAGATTTAATGAAGTGGACAGAAGTGGATACCCGACATCTCTGAAGAGAACTCAAGGTGCAGAGGCATCGTCAATGAGGGTCGGGTACAGCGTGGTCTTCATCTTCACAGCTGAACACAACTTCTGCATCCCACGTCAAGTTCTCTGGAGGGACAGAAAACCTCTTGGTAAACTGCAACTTTCCAACCAGGAAGTACAATGTACTTCTCTAACAAAGATTATAACCTGTCTACCCGCACACTTTTCCTCACAGTGGCTTCATTCTCCCTGACTGGTGCTTTCATCATCTCAGTTTATCTACCCAGTCGTTTAAAATATCCTCCAGCCGTGAAACTGTGAGAATTTTCATACCAGTCATTGCTTTTCTTTTTGACATTTGATTTAATTAAAACCATGTAAAAATAGACCGGTTGCATCTACAGTCTGTTAATTGCTTTCCCAGTCTAAGGGCACAAAGCATTAATTGAGTTTTATAAGCCTTTAACCAGTCAGGTCTACTCTGTGCATCCTCATCTTGAACTGCAATAGTCACAGCTGGCTCTGTCTCACCAAGTTTACCCCTTAAACATGTCAATTGTACAGTGCATCTCTTAGTAAGATCATACCATGTCAGCTGATTCACAAAACCAGAGGGATCCTTTTCTGGTTTTGGAAACTGCACAACCATGGCACAGCTCTAGCTCAGTAGGGATCCATGATCTAGCCTGTATTTGCCTCAACTCCGCCTTATTTTTCTAGGTACCTGGACATCTGACTACCTCAGACACTTTTCCAGCAAATATCCAGGTTTAAAGAGGGACTCAACTGTGCAAACTACCAATAACTTGAAAGCTCGGGCACCTTCACACACACTGAGAAGGGGAAGGAGAAAAGCCTTTCCTCTTATGCGAGTCGACTCAGTTGGCCCCGGTCACTGGTGAGGTTCTTCAGAGGATTCCAGGTTTCAGTCCAGATTTGCACATAATCAACTCCAGAGGAAAGACTCATTCAGCTGCTGCCGCTATCGCCCAGGTGATGCTGGAGTCAAGTGTCGTTGACTGTGCTTCCCCCAGCTGAGGCAGTCCCTTCAGGGTCACATCAAATCAGGTCAAGTCAAAGTCTCAGCACCAAACAGTCTGGTGCACAGGTCTGTAGTCAGCATCCTTAGTTCTGATGGGTCATTGTCATGGCTTATCGCCAATTTAAAGTATTTTGAAACTTCCATTTGTCATCTTGAAGTATCATTTTCTATTATTAGAGTGCAAGGTAGGCTTTTGCAGTCAAGGCCTGTCATCTCTGGACCTCCTAAAGATCCAAGACTTCCAGAATCAATGACTTATCAAATCACTTCAGTGTTTTAATACTATTCGCATGTGGTTTTGATTTAGAATAGTTTGTTTTTGCCAATATTTTTAAGATATCTTGATTTAACAGGGCTATTTTCTTAATTTTGTTTAATTGTATTTTAAGGCTTTCAGTAATATTAGTTCCTATCTAAAGTAATAAGTAACTGAGCTACTGTCCGAGTTTGAAACTACCCAAAATGATCAAGACCAGAACTGTTTACTCGCAATACTTTGGTCCTGTCCTGCCAAGCTACACATGATAAAATGAAGGTGTTGTGAGAAAAGAACATCTACCACTACCCTAAATTTGGTACCATGGCTTAATTCTGGCCTTCCCAACTCTTCAGCATTACATCTCCTGTAGTAGGAGCTTATTTAATTTCTACTCATTTAGAACTGTCAAACGGACCAGGTGCCTCCAAAACGTGCCAGACCAGGCGCCCCCAAAACACTCATGGAGCCATCTGAACACACTCAGACCTCCAGTCTCAAACCAGGCGCCTCCAAAACCAGGTACATTCCAAAAGACAAACAGAGCGATCTGAATATACTCAGATCTTGTGTCTCGGACACCTTGAAAGTGCATCAAATACAAAAATTTTCTATAAAATAAACAGTAGGAGGATGGGGTTTCAGTGGTGATTAGAGTCTTGGATATGTCAAAGATTAACAAAATTGATGTGACTGCATTAGTTTTTTTTTTTTTGTTTTTTTTTTAATGTAGTGCCAGATATGCCATCTGGACACCTTTGTGGCCAAAAATGGCCCATTGATTTCCATGCCAGTCATTTTTTTTACTCACTGCCATTACAGTATAAAATTTGAATCTGGTAAAATATAGTAAAATTGTCAAATCACTACTTCAAAATGAAATGCTGCCATTACAGAATGCATGGTTTTATACTGTAATGGCAGTGAGATAAAAAAAATTGGCTGTCATTCTCTTCTTCACTACAATTCAGGCTCTTTACCTGCTGCTAGATTAAAAGGGTGGTTCTGCTCTTTATTTACCTGTTACCTTTATTTACCATGATGAATCTTAATATCAAAGCTTCATCGATGATGGCTTTTTATAGTCATTAATCACAAGCCTAACTCTGAGCTAAATGAACTCAGGCAGTGGAAAGATGGCTTTAATAATGTCTAGAAACACTGGAGATTTCAAATCAGTGAGCACAACAAATCATGAATGTTTTTATTTCTTTAGCAAGTAAGGCTGCGCAAGAAATAGTTTAATAGATTTGAGCAGTGCACTGAAGTGTCTTGACAACCTTTGATTTACATGTACTCATATCTTTTTGGATAATTTTGGCAAACACATTACAATTCTGTGAAAAATGAAAATGCCAGTGTCTATTTAAATCTTTTGAAATATCAAATTTACCCAGTGGGTCACTCTTAAATATACATTTTGTTTCTGAACTTGGCAGTCGTTATCCTTATACACAATTACCCTGCCTTTAGAGCGGGACTATTTAGTTTTACTTTATGCTAGGCTAATATGGGCTTTATGGGCTGCAATAAAACAGATGCATTATAACAAGGTTGAATAAAAGTGAATCTTTGCTTTTATTATTGATTATGAAAATGAACAGGCACCTCTTACATGGAGCTCGCAGAATAAGTTTTCAAATATAAATAACACACTCTCATTAGTGTTGATTACTTACAGCAACCTGCAAAATAAGACTTCAAACCACATTAAAAGAAAAAAAATAGAAAAACAAACACAAAACATCAGCATCCCATCTAAACCTTTGTAATATATGCACTAACGTATTTCTCAGTTGTGTGAAGGCTTTTTGCCCTGAACAAGTGCTGCTGTAACTGCATCTTAAACAATCATTTCAGTTCCATCTTTTTCCTCACAAGACAGTGACAGCAGACAAGACCATTATAAAGAAGCTAATAAAAGAAATCAGTGGTTAAATATATATCTTTAAGTTATCAATATAGTTTTGAGATAGCGGAGTGCTGTGGTAATATCCTCTACATTTTAGAGTATCATCACATTCACTCAAGTCCATTCAAGAAACTCAGCTAGACCCTGGAAAAAGCAAATGCAAGACAAACAACCAAGGATGGTAAATTCAAGTATCTCTGACTGGATGGTGATGAAGATTTCCTTAGGAATGGAGTGATTACAGTCTGAAACAACAAACAGCCATACAGTCTCAAGAGGTGAGGTTTGCAATAGCCACCCCAATAATCAATACCTAAGTTATGGAAAGACAAAAAGTTGTAACAATGCCTGATGCCAATAATAAAAAGTAGGGTTTCAAAGTACATGCACCCCCACTGTAAAACTACTAAACTTTTTTAACCAACTGCAGTTTTTTTTTCCTGACTGTACATATCCTAATTAGCAAAAGATGCAAACTAATTTACAATGAAATAAAGCACTCCTATTGGCATTCTGCTATAAAGTAAGTGCATCCTCTGCAAATGTCTTTCACATCATCCAACAATTTAAAGACATATACAACAGTTTCAGACATGTTATAAGTTTACAACATAACAGTCTCTTTTGGTGAAAATATAGTTAAATTCAAAATATCTGATAGGTATCTTTTTTTAGAGGTGATATCTTTATTGAAAAAAGTACCTGAGCCAAAACTCTGATCAGGGGAAATCACAAAAGCCTTGTCTCCTAGAAATATTCTCTTTTTCCATCTCCAAAATCAAAATCAGTACAAAAAAGGAAGTCAAGCCATTTAAAATCAAACATTTTAGAAGATTAAAGCATGTGATTAAAAATAAGTATCACAGAAATAATGATGGATCATGCAACGACGTTCCCTCTCATACATTCTTCAAATGGAAGAGACGCCGCTCCACATCTTCAAGGCTGGACTAGTAAACACTACATGAGTTCAGCCCAGCACATCAAGGAGATGTATGCACCGAGGTCATCATCTGACTAAAACATCTTCAAATCTATTTCATTCTTATCTGTACCAGAGAATCTGCACAGACATCTGTACCAACAGCAGCAGGAAGAACTGCAACACAGGCCTCAAGTTGGAAGATGAAAAAAAAAAAAGATGTATCTGCTTTTGAGTCAGTGATTACAAACTAAAACCTGATAAATAAGTGGACTGCTTACAGTGCAACTGCAAGCTGGGAATAATGTACTAATAGTGCCTTTTTAAACTAGATACTTTCACAGTGCATATAATAATAATAATAAAATAAAAATAGATGACGCATTTTCTTGGGGTTATGATGGCCAGATTCCTTCCAAAAAATGATCTGGATTTCTCTTTGTAGGCCCAAGCATGCATCCATCAGTTATTGCACAACACAATGACCTTAAAATGAAGACCGCACACAAGCAAAAAAGCAACAATAATCTTGAACAGGAATTAATTATCTCACTACAAATCCACCTTGTTGCTTGAATGCTGCATTACTACCTTTTGTTGCCAAAAACAATCCTTCTTGGGTGCATCTAAATGTTCTCTATGTTACAACTGACTAAAACATACATCCAACTGCCCGCGGGAGAAATGCAGTCAAGAGTCTGCAGCACATGGTGTCCATTGTTCCAGTCAAAGATCAGAGTTCAAAGACTGAATGATTAAAAAGTGCTTTATGTAGGTCAGTAGGCCTTCTTTCTTCAACAATTATTACAAAGTTTGTAGATTAGCATGTATCATCTGTGAAGGCAAAAAAAAAAATCATATCATCATCCTGAATGACATATTTAGAATAATTGGGAACTGTTTTTACTTGTCTCCCAATTAAAGGAGGACGATTGTCAAAGAAAAAAAACTCACCATGATACCACCATTTTGTCTTCTTTGGATTTTTGTTACACGTTCTTACATAAAAAGAGTTATCAGGTGGTCGTCTCTGTGGAAACATATTTAATCTAAATGCTTGTTTTTAATTAGCATACAATTAACAAAATCTACCCAGACATCATTATAGGCTCCCTACCTTTTCTTTGCAGCTGGACAACATGCTGATAATGCTAAGACAAACTGACTGCACGGAGAGGGCTGGTGACCAATCTTCTGTTAGAATAGACAGACAGATGTGCCCATTGCTATACACATGAGGGTGGACAGGTATATTCTCTCCTGTAAACATTACCTGCAACAGTGAAAAAAAAAAAATGGTTACAAGATAATTCACGGAATAGATCATAAGTAAAAAGGGGCTGAAGATCTGATACTTAAAAGGCAAGAACCTTTTTTAACAGTGATTTTTATTTACATTAAATGATAGAATAATGGACTTTCTGTATAAGCTCAGGCTGAAGCCTCTACAATGGCACGAGGCTATGGTATTTGGACAGAGGGGTTAAAGAGGGGAAGAGAGAACAGGCAACTCAGAAAGGAAACCATAAAAAGGAGACATGGTCTATAAAAGGGATCAGTGGATAAGAGCCATTAAAAGTGTGCAAGACTCAGGGATAACCAGGGAGATACATATAATGTCATGAGAAGAGGGGTACTAAAGTTGAGAGGAGGGGGACGTCAGGGTTGGTAAACAAGGATAATGGGCAGACACAGTCTAGTACTGGACAGGGCCTCACAGGAGAGCGAAGGCTTCACTTCACATCTTGAGGGTAGTGACAGTGTGATAGTTAAGTACAGATAGGAGCAGAGAGTAAAGTTGGCAATATACTCTAAACATCAAGGCAACTAAAAACTACTTGCTTGCAGAAGGTTTAAAATATTTACTGAAATGGTAGCTGAATTTCCATTGCTATCCTATCTCAGTTACTTTTATGTTTGTATCCACCTCAGTGCTGCTTTGTTGATCTGTGTACAATATTTGTTATAATATTTTTACTTTTGTAAGCAAGAAGTCCACCGTCCTTCAGTTGTAATTCCTTAGTCTCTTTGTTCCGTCACACTATAATTTAGACATATACAACTTCTGTCTTGTTTAGAGCTGAAATGATCACTAAAAACTAAGTGCCGTGTATGGCTTTAATGGCTTTACTGTGCAAAAATCTAAAAAGTTGCCACAAGTCATATGATACTGTTGAAAAATTGCTAACAAAAGCATGTTGCAAGATTCTGGAAGAGGAAATTTCAACAGCTGGTTAGATAACACATTAATGAAAAAATAAAAAATGAATGTGGCATGTTGTAATAACAAATCTGCAAAAGTATGTACAAGTGGGCCGATGATAGGGCTGTCCAGAACAGGAAGTCAGTCTATTCATAGAAAAGTTATTAACTGACAGTAATTCACTGGCATACTGTTCCTGCAGACAGGCTCACAGACCTGCACATTTGTGAAATACATAATTTCTTCTGAAGCCCTTCACACAATCAGTAATGCACAGCAGGAACGTATATGGCAGTATACAACAGGAGTCTGACAGAGTGCCCTTCCTGTATTTGAGAAGATAGCAACTAAAGTCGTTTTCACACATGAACTCTGGACTATGTCCGTGGAATGAGTCTGGGGCTTTGTCCAGAATTGCCATTTAACACATGTAGCACATAACAGGAGATAGTCTGTGTCAGACACGTTCTCACCTACTGGAAATACTCTGGTTTATGTGCAGGGGGTACGCCTGGGTAGAGCAGGCAGGAGGCAGGACATGATGCGATCATGTATCCAGTTTGTAATTTGGTCTTAAACTGAGTCTCTTGCCTAGTCTGAGGATTGTATTCTCTGGTTTTGTTATCGACATGTCCACTAGCTTTGTGTGAATACTTCTGACTATACGCTGCTGTGTTCTCACATGGGCTCACTTCAGTTTGCTCAGACCTTGCACAGACTTTGTATCTGGGAGTTGGCAGAGTAAGGTCGGCTAAAAGTCTGGGTCAACTGATTCGGACATTTGCGTTCTCACATACTGTACACCTTCCCTGGTTGATCTCTAGAAAATTCTAGGATTCCAGTGCCTGTCTGAAAAGGGCTTAACTGGAGATTATCCACCATAAGCTTCTGCTGGTTAAGCACATACACATCCATTTGATGCTAGAGTGTAGAGAGGTTCCATTTTTGATAGTGAACTGAAGCTATATAGAAACAATGCTCTATACATGCTGGGTGGACGCCAGCAATAATCATATGAAACATACTGGCTCTGCAGTTAATGGAATGAATCTTAGCTCAGAAATGCTGGAGCCAAGAATCACAGACAGAGACACTAGTGCAGAGCTCCCGTGGAAGGGATTAGTTTAATGCACATGTGTCAAACTCAAGGCCTGCGAGATCATTTTATATATCTTTTTTTTAATGGCCCGGGGATATGAAGCGCTGATAACACAGACTACAAATCCCATAATGCAGTGCAACAGCCTCCTTACCGAACGATAGGCTACCTGCGATCATTCCCGCATCAATTACGTCAGATCAATCAAGCGTCTGTTGGTGTACAATCCTAATTTCAAGTCAAAGCTAGCCCCCAACAATGGCCGAGAGAAAAGTTGATTCTGAAAACAGAGCCTTTCTAAACCGGTGGGAGGCTGAGTATATGTTTACTGACATTCACAGCAGACGTTTTCACCAAAGCGAAATCACACAGTGAAGCTGCTGTGAAAGAAGTTTTATTGGGGCAGAGGAGAAAATCAGCCCGGACATTTACCGAGGGAGAGTTTCTGAAGAGCTGCATGATGAAAGTGTGCAACGTCTTGTGTCCAGGCAAAAAGCAGGTGTTTGTAAATGTAAGCCTTAGCAGAAATACGGTTGCTGATTTTAAGTTCAAGTTTATTTATTTTGGAACAATATTGTATCCTGTGTGTTTTGATTCATATTTATGTTCAAAAAACATTTAGTTTTAGTCTGTTCAATACATGTTTATCCTGTTCGGCCCCCGACCTAAAGTGTGCTTTGATTTGACACCCCTGGTTTAATGCAACAACCTTGTCACCCATCAAGAGCCTGTCCACCTAAAAATAGAAATGAGATGGTAAAATTACATAAACTTAGCCACTTAAATACTGCCATATAATGGACACTGCAAGTCAGTTTGAGGACTGATTCTTCACCACTCAAGACAAGATGGTGAATGTGTTTTTTATAACATGAGAAGAGAAAAAAGCTTTTCATAAAGCCACATAGGCAGAAAAACTTCAGCTTACCTGAGGTGAATCAAAAGGATATCGACTACTAAATTTGAAAAGCAGCTGAAACTTCTCTCCTTCATACAGCGTACCAGGTGCTCCCTCCATGTCTACGATCCATCTAACGGGGAGACACAATATTAAAATATGTTAAACACTTATCAATCAAAAAGAGTAAAAAAATTACACTGATCACCCAACACATTAGCCTCTTTCAGACATTCAACCCTCTCAGGAATTTGCCCACTAGTTCATGTCTTGTCTGAACAAAGCGCCAAGTCATGTATCCAGCAAAGTGTTACCAGTGTTGTCTCAAAGTGTGTTCCCCTGTCAAGATGTTTTCCCCATTATATCTTAACTTGAACCCTAACCACTTAGGGGGGCGCTATGGGAAACAGTTTTAACAGGGGGAAACATCTCACTGGAGAGTACACTTCGACACAACACCCGCAATTTTAACTGATCGGACCTAGTCAGACAGTCAGCTACTTTCTAACTGACTGCATGTCTGAAATGGTCAAATTGCCATTAGGGCATGATCAAGATGACAACAATGCTGCCTACATAAGATGTCCTTGCACACAACATTTACAAAACAATCCTTGAGTAGGACAGGATGTATGTAAACTGGTACAAAGTTTATTTTAAACTGTTACAGAGCAGACACAATTTAGCACCTGTGTGAGCTAATCATGGAGCTACCACAATATGGCTGGAAATTGGTCCGACATGGAAACGCATGTGCCTCGAGTGATGTTGGATATTGCATGAATGTTGTGGCTGCACCCAGCAAGGTCCTGCTAAGTTTGAACTAAGCCTTATCACAGCAGCTCAATGTCCGAATACCAGAAAAGCAACTGCTACACTCGGTTTTTCCTCTTTGTAACAAAAACAACAAAAATATATATAACAATACAGCGGTTTGAAAAGACTGAGAGATTGGACATTTCATTTTTAAATTTTATTTATTTTCCAAAACCTGTGATAACTTCAAGGCAAAAAAATTAAAATATTTATGAAGATAATGGAGCAAGTAACACCACAGTTAATAAATTCATCATATCAAATCACTACCAGGCTTTAGGAGGAAATTACTTTGTGCATTAACAACTGCATGGAAAACCCTTTTTTTATTATTATTTTTTTTACAGACAGACAAACAGTGGTAAATGGTCTTATATTTGTATAGCGCCTTTCTATGCTTTACAGCACACTCAAAGCGCTTTCACACTATTTGGCCATTCACCCATTTGCCTTTTATGCACTGGCCAAAGCGCTTTACAGGGAGATTATACACCATTCACCCATCACCGGGCACACACACACACACACATTCACACACCGGTGACATCACCGGGAGCAACTGGGGACACAGTGTCTTGCTCAAAAAACACTTTAACATGTTGACTGGACAAGCTGGGAATCGAACCGCTAATCCTCCGGTTAGGAAACGACCCGCTCTACCTCCTGAGCCAGAGCCACCCCGTGGTGTTTGCTTTACATTCTGTATTATTATAGATTATCTAGGAATATGTCCAGAAAGGCTTAGATGGTTCACATTTCATAATTCTTAAAAAAGAGCATTTATACAAAATATGAGCTGCCAATGCAGCATTAGGTGTGTAATCAAAAGCTTTCAGTCTGACTCATTCCAGGGACATTCGATATTCAACTGGTCTATGACACTGGGTTTGTAATAATTTGATACCATATTGATTCATTGGACAAATCTATTTTTGCTTCTGTAGTCTGGCCAAAGAACTGCGCTGACAGAGCTGTGAGGGATTCAAGGTCCTGCTCACAATGGTAGATGACTGCAAATGTGCAGCTTTGATCCTGAGGAAGATCAACCCCCGCAAAGCAGCAGGACCAGACAACATCCTTGGGAGGGCTCTCAGGGCATGTGCCAGCGAACTGGCTGATGTTCTCACCACCATCTTCAACCTCTCCCTCAGCCAGAGCATCGTTCCCACCTGCTTTAAGACCACAACCATCGTCCCCCTTCCCGTCCCCCCAATCATTATGAAGTGTTTTGAGAGAGTGGTGCTGGCCCACATCCAGAGCAGTATATTGGACCCCCTGGACCCCTGGCAGTATGCCTACCGGTGCAACAGGGCCACCTCAGATGCCATCGTGGCTGCCCTCTATTATTCCCTTTCTCACCTGGAAAATGGAGACTTACATCAGGATACTCTTCATTGACTACAGCTCCGCCTTCAACACAGTTGTCCCCCACAAACTCACCCACAAACTGTCCACACTGTGTCTGCACCCCACCCTCTGTGACTGGCTCCTGGACTTTGACTGGCAGACCCCAGACTGTCAGGATTGGCAATAGGACTTCAGCCAGCATTATCACAAACATCGGCACCCCACAGGGATGTGTCCCCAGTCCCATCCTCTACACCCTGTTCACCCATGACTGTGTCGCCTCCCACAAAGACATCATCATCCTAAAGTTCACGGACGACACCACAGTGATAGGTCGCATCACTGGCGGGGACAAAGCAGCCTACAGGAGGGAGG